ACAGAGGGTCGATCAATGGAGAGCAACGTGTGCAAATAATTATTCTCCCCGAAAGCTGATCAAAGACGAGCCTCGTCTAGTCCGCAGCTATCAAAACAGTAGACCAGCGTTCCCGATTGCAGGCCTCGAAACACGCGCCAGTTAAATCGATGCAACGCGAACCACGTAACGCGGTTGCCACGTTCGTGAATGCGCCGATAACGTTCGCCTTCAAGGTGGCGCGAAGTTCAGGCTGATTAGAGCCCGGAAGGAATCTTTAAAAACTATCGCCGATAAGCCTGGTCAATACCGAGCGCCGCTCACGGCACCGTTCCTTATGGCTACCGAGAATCGGACTGGCGATTTCGTAGGTCCCTCGTAATCGGCCCTATCACGTGACAACGATCCACGCGTATCGACTCACCGAGAGATCACCGCCTCTCCCGCGATGCTCCCGAGAATCAGCTCGCCCGCTGATAACACACCTACCGAATAATCGCCGCGCGACGTCACGCCACGCGGGATCCACCGTTCATTGCTGAGTAATCTTGTTTTCGAGCTAATAGGAAGTGGGTTCGCAGCGGTGGCTAGCTCGACAAGCACAATATGGGACTGCGCGGAGCGCTCGATCAACGCGGGAGCACCGCGAAATAGTATGATGCAAGATGCAACACGGTGAAGTGCTGTTTCGACTGTCAGTTTCGAAAGCTACCGACGAACCTTTCGGCAAGGAAGAAGCTAAGCTTCGTTCGAATACGAAGTCAGGAAAGTTCGTCGATCCGGGGAGCCTTCGGGGACCTAACAGCTGACAACATTACCAAAGATACACGCTTAATTTCCTCGGTACGATGTAACCGTTCACTCGACGTTTGAATTAAACCCGTCCAGTTTCTCCTTTGCGGTCAGTTTCCTCGTCCTCGCAGTTTCGTCGAGCGGCTACGGAAGGACACGTCGGTTGACCGTGTCCACGAAGAATGACCCCCGCGATTCGTCCATCGTGAAACGATATGTAGTATTGGAAACGCGGATGAGTCTGGGTTAGGTCCACTTATCGGAGGAGCACAGCACACTTTCGCGAGGCTTATCAGCGCGATAACGCCGAAAACACGATTGCCACGAATTCGGCTCGGTTACGCCGCGAAAGTACTGTATGTAGCTCGAGTTCGGCGGATCGAGCGGTCGATTTTCGGGACGGGACACGCTGGCCGATCCGAGATAACACGGATATTGGCGAGCGCGCGCGCGTGCTCGGTAGCTGCCGCGATCGGTGCGTAACGCGAGCGCGAAAATCGCAGACGCGCGTCGCCGAGAAATTAAGAAGACAGGTGAGACGAGGTAGTAAGCGTTTCGCTGCACGACCGTGGTGGGGGACGCAAGAGAGGGAAAGAGACGGCAGCCGCGCGTTCGGCGAAGCGAGCCGACCGATCGAGAAAGAAACCGTCGATCGGCGAAGGAAAAATGCGTTGCATCAGTGGTGCTCAATTACATCGAACGTCATTCTCCATTCCAGCGGATTTTCCGTCGATTAACATATTCTTTAGCCGGGAAGCGCTCTATCTATTGTGCACGTGTCAGCGTATCTTGGAACGATGATACTGATCGATATCTCGTTGGAATTCGCGTTCTAAATATCCTTGTTCATGGAAAATGCGATGTCGATACGTATCCTTGTCGGGAGAGAAATATAAGGAGGATATGTGTCCGTATTGACAGAAAAGTATAAGGGAAATCCCTATTGACAGAAGATACAGCAATATAGGTTTAAGTAGACTATTGCTTGTTCCTCGGTAGGAATCGAGGCAGTAGGTTGACTAGAATTTTTCTAAAAGCACCGAAAGCTGGAAAATTGTGCAATCTTTTCGCGTCGCGGCTCATCTTTCAGGAGAGTAAGTTTTAAATGGTGAGTCGTTATCGGCAGCCAAGCGGACGACACAGTTCGAAAATTGATTTTCCCGGGAACAACGCGCCCGGCGAGAGGCATTGTTCGTAATTTTTCGTTCGAGATTCTCGTAAGATGTCCCTGGATGTTTGTAATACTCGTAAAGAAATTGATAACGCGTTCGAACGTTCGGGGGCCGTTCACGTGTAGCTGTGGGTCGTCGCAAAAAGTTATGGAACTAATGCAGCTACGGGACGGTTATAAACTGTCGTCGGTTTATCAACGTTTCACGAAGGAACACGCGGGCATATTCAACGTTTCGGAGCCTTGAAGTAACTTTCGTCAAATATAGCGAAACCTCTCCGGTAATGGTTGTTTTACGACCAAATACGCGAATTAATGTTTCGCAAGCGAGAAGCATCGCTTGAATTTAAATACAAACGATCCTCTCCACGATCGTTCGTTTGCAAGCGAAAAAGAAAGAAAAGAAACGGTCGAATAATCGTTGAAAGATCATCCGTATCTTTTGAACGATTGGCTAAATCTAATCTGAACGCCGCTCGTAATAAATTACTTACTGCGAACATGAGAACCAGGCAAGCGTCTCGTTAACCGTTCATAAAGTCAGGATTAAATTTCGTTTACTACCACGGTCGATTCGTTCCCTCGGCTTGATGTATGTTTACGGGAACCGGAAGTGGCAGGGCGACATTACCCCGAGACGCGATAAAGTTTATGACGCGGCCCGCGCGAGGAACCTGGCTCGGCCGCGGGACTTGGGAACGCATCCTACAGCCACACGTGCGAAAATGTCGATACGAATTGTCTATTTCTAGGTCGCGAAAGTGAGCGGATCGATACGCCGTGCCTCGTATGTAAGGAAGACTGTGAACTCGCGTACGACCTTTGCGCCGCAGAGCGAACGGAAGATTCGGCGGACGCGTGGCCCCGGGACCGGCAATTTCCGGCATTTGCATTCGACCTCGCGGATCGGCCAGCCGCTGGCTCTGCCGCCGCTAAATCGGTCGAGCGGATCGTGCTTGCCTACTAGGCAAGTTTCGTCGTTTCCTTGACATCCTTCGCCAGTTAAGGACTCGCTCAGGTGTCCGCCAAAGAGTCCGAGCGCATGAATCGCCGTTCCACCGAACCGTTCCCGCGAATCGATAAACGTTTAACCTAAATTTCTTCTGTTCCCTAGTGGGACCGTGCCGATTTCATTGCGACGATTGCCAGATAGTATTCTTCGATGGTTCCTATTGTTTAAAACAAGAATAGCCTGACTATCCTATATTATAAGTTATCTCGGAATCCTCGATCTCTTAACTCGTTTATAATCTCCCAACTGGGAATAATATCTTCGATGATTGTAACTGAAAGTTTTGAACAACTGTTCACCGTAGCAGTGCCAAGAAAATTTTATTGGTTGATCCATATGTGTATTAAAAGTGTTCCCCAGTGATCCGTGAACACTGGACGCTTAATAAGTAAAAATTTTCACACGTCGAGAAACGTTCGCCGCGTACCAATCGCGTGCACAGCCGACTCGATCGAATTAAATCGGAACACAGACGGACCACCAACCGGTCCACTTTTAAATGTTTCGCCGGCCGCAATGCCGGTTCATTAAAGGGGAAAAGCGAACAAATTGGTGGCATTGTGAGTGGTTCCGTGAATGCCGGGGGCGGGCGTGTCGAGCGCAATTCGGCGGCGTCTTTATTAAGTCGACAACCCTGCTTTAGAAATTCGTTGCATTTCACGGGGCAAAATTAAATCCCGGCGGCACAATGTTCGGCGAGGTCATGGTGCAAGCGATAACGGGGACATTAATTGGCAGGGCACAGCCGTACCGGCAAAAATATTCGGTAATTAAGGAGACAATGCAGTAAACAATGCGAAGTACTTACCGTAGCACGCTAACAATGGTCACTGGTTCCCCGTTTTCACAAAACACGGATTACATCGTTGACCAAACGGCGAGACGCGCGTCGCGGCTCGGCGGTTTTCAGTGTCTGATGAAAAATTCAATGGATTTAGTAACTTGAAAGGCCGAGGAAAACTGGAAACTTATTTAATTGCGGATGAAATCAAATAGACCACAAATTTTTTCGTACCGTAAATACAATAGCGCGAGGTTTCTTTTGTGAATGGACGTATATAATAAATGGCACTAAGTTAATCAAGATTGTAACGACTTGTTATGAAAGGAAACGTTCTTGAACTGTGAGAGAGTCTTGTAAAAGAGTTTATTTAATCAGGCAGATGGAATTAACGTAGTTCTCGATCAACGAGCGCCCGAGAGAACTTTATCAGCCAAAATGCCACGAAAGCCCGTGAATCAGCGGTGTTTTTGACAGGACTGTAGCCGGCCGCATGCCGGTACACCTGACACAGAGTGGTACATTCATCCCCACCAGGTAAACCCCACCGATTCGCCCCCGCTACCCACGGTAACGCGATTTCAACCCCGAATTAGATTATCGCGATTTTAATTCATTGCGTTTAAACCGCGGAATTAAGCGGTAAATTTATGGCACTAAATTACAGAAAAGGCGAAAACAACGTGGTATTTATTACATATCTGTCTAAAAAAGAATGATAAATGAATTCTATTTAAAAAATAAGGGAATATTTGTAAATAATTGAAAATCTGCTGGGTTAAAATTATTGACAATGAAAAAAATTCTTATTGTTAAGAGAAAAAGCTAAAAAAATGTAATTTAATTGGAATTTAATTGGAATTTAATTGGAATTTAATTGGAATTAACTGAAATTTGTGCGAATTAATTATGTAATTGATTATATAGTAAAACATTATCGGAAAAGATATATTTTCGAATGGATTGAAAAATCACAATGGCGGCGTACTCTCGCGGTAGAGTATGAAGTGTGAGATAACCGTTTTGGTTCTAAATTTGATTCAGATATTTTGAATATATTCTTATACGAATCAGTGATAGAAATGTTAATATTAATTTTAATTAATTTGTGAATTCTATATATTAAAATATTATAATGTTACGATTGAAATACACGTGTTCATTGTAATATAATAAATGCAACTTATGGATAGTAAATATAAAAGAGAAAGATAGATAGTGTATATGGACAGTAATTGTGATGCAATATTGTGTTGTAATCAAAGGAATGTTGAAAATGTTAATTACCTGAGGTTGCAAACGATTACAAAACACGAGGAACATTTATTCTTCCCTCCCACGTTCCAGTGATTCAACTTAGTTCCGGTAGAGATGAGAAGATAAGTCTGTAAAGTAACGATTCATTGATTATATATTATATATTTTGCGAATAGTCTATTGTAAACGTTATTGAATTAAATAAACCTTTGTTTCCCTTCGATTTTCCAATGATTTCTCACGAGGAAAGTTTTCTTCTTTCAACTTTACAAACACTTTGGTTCACCCTGTCCGACAGCATCGACTGGTGGCGCTGCGATCGTTAGCAGTAATGAAAATCCGCCTTCACGCAAGATGTGACACCTCGCGGCCAACGATGTTAGAATTGTAATATTTTCCGGTAAAGTAGTTTGGCAGTTCTTTCGGACGTTGTGCAAGTAAAAACGTACGCGAAAAATGTAGAATTGCGTGAGTGAAACGGGAATTGATCACGTTTTGAACCACGCTGCTTGAAACGCAACGGAACTTCCGTGAATCGTGTTCGTGATTGCAGTGTACATTACATATAGTAACATATATCGCGATAGGGCGCCCCGAACCGTAATAAAACATCGATCGGTGCAGTGAAAGTGGCAAAAAGAAATGAAATCTAAGTGTTTTTTCATCATGTAGTCGATAGGATCTTCACAACAGACCTTTAAGCGTATATTAAACACCAATGCTTGCATTATTCACGTACAAGGTTAATGCGCCTTGATTCCCCAATAATTGTGGAACACCAGGGCATTAATAGATGAAAATGAGTGGGGATATGTTTGAGGGAAAGGATTACCCTACCCAATGGGCCCTAAACCCTTCTGCTTATCAGAACATGAGTAACGATCAAGGTAAATGGAGTAAGAAGTATTTCAGTATGCGATGCGCATGCAATTCATTTCTTTCCATCATTCTACAACTTCTAATTGACCCACGAAACTCATGATCGCTATTCAGTTGACTGGGCCGCATTAGCTCAGCAATGGATCAAAATGAAAGAGACTGTAGTGCCACCGGCACCACCACCGCCTGCTATTAATCCTATATGTTCTGGAACTGATGGTAGCGGTGAAGCACCAATGGACATGGACACAAAAGATGATGATATACCTCCAGCACCGCCTGCACCTACAATCAGTGGATCAGGTAACAGAAAAAAAAAGTGTCGTAAGATAGAGCTAAATGCTATGACAGATATTCTCAAATATTACGTTCACAGGTAATGGAGCATAGATATACATATGTATGCATGATTGGCTCATTGTTGGTATTCATTGATAAGGTTCAAACTCCAGGATTTAATGAATTTTTAATAAGCAATTTATATTGTTTGTATTATATTTATTTTTTATGTTATAAGCCTTATATAAGTATATTTTAATTTTATACATGTGGTACTTCATATGTTAAAAATTAATGGACACCCTATATTTCTACATGTATGATGTGTTGTTTTGTTTGTAACCTTAGTTCCAGAGAGATAAGTAATTTAATTTATGTTTATGAAACTATTTTACAATATTTATTCTTTAATACCAGCTGAATCTTGGACCCAATGGAATCAATGGGGCCATTGGAACAGCTCTGGTTCTGGTGCAGGTACTTGGGAGTGGACTGGTGTACCTCCTCCTGGTGTTTCTATAGGTTCTGATGGGAAACCTATGGGAATTCCTACAGTACCAGTTATTCCACCTGCTCCAACCATATCAACAACATCTGAATTTAATGTGCCACCTCCAGCAGCACCGGCGTTGTATTCTTATAATTCAGTACCTCCAACACAACCTTATAGTCAGGTTAAAATTGTATTTCTAATATAAAATATCCCTAAACCCTCACTCTTCCCTGCTTTCGTAGGTATAATAAAGGAAAAAAATAGATATTTCTCACAATCTTCAATTATTTTTTGATTTTATCCTTATTTTATTTTCGTCATCTTAATCGATAACCAAAAATCTAATCTATACTGTAATGGAATCTGGGTGATATTTGAAGTTTACGGATAATGAGTGTCTTATGTTTAGGTCAGTAGCTACTGGTCAGGAGAACCACCTGCTACAATACCACCTCAGCCACCCCCTTTTATGAAAGGAGTTAGACATACAAATAGAGCACCCCATATGAGGCCTATAGATAATGTAAGGTGTAGAGAAGACAGAGAAAAGACACCTGAAGAGGATACAACTACAACCATAGGTAATATCGTTATCCAATATTCAATTGCACATTATTAAATCTCCCCAGTATATTTTGACTGATAATATACATTAACGATAAGACTTAACAACATGTCTTTGAGTCCTCATCGTATCATGAAATTTCCATGATAACTGATCATAAGGCAAGAATGTTCTTACTTTAGATGCAGCAAAACGTAGGCAATTACCTGCATGGATTAGGGAGGGTTTAGAAAAAATGGAGAAAGAGAAGCAGAAAGCTGTCGAGAGGGAGAGGCAAGAAATTCTTCGGAAGCAGGAGCTGGAGGCCCGGAAACAGGCCGAAGACGAAGCTCGGGCAGTTCTGAATCCATCTAAAAGCAAATTTGTAGGTGCCTCTCTGATGCTCGCGATTCTAAGTGAGCGATCGGTGTTCACACACTTGGTTTGTTGGGGTGTAGGATTCTGATTCCGAGAAGGAAACGGAGCAGGAGGTTGACGAGGGATCGCGTGGTCAGCAAGTGGCTGAGAAGAATTTCGAGCGCACCCCCGACATCCTTCTCCGACCGCGGAAGTCCCGATTTCGAGATGCAGACTCGCCGGATGCTCACGCGCATACCGACAGGAGTCCAACCACACCTTCCAATGCTACAATAAGTACTCCCAAGCGATCGAGAGAAGATATTCTGCAAGACGTGGTGAGTGCTCGTCCGGAAATACGTGAGTCGGTCAAT